CTTACTCATCGATGAACACACCCATCACTCCTAACCCCAATCATGCCTACCTTTACACGGGAGTCATGCCGAGTCCACTTTCACCTCAAGGGTATGGTGGCCCAACATCAGGCTATCCACCACCCGAGAAGCCAAGTCGCCATACTTCCCTTGTACATCAGCCCCCACAATTACGGTCTTCCGTGCGACAAATGCATCCAAGACCTAGAGACTGGGAAATTGAAGAGGAATCGATCATCCAAAACCTACAACCGACCCCGCTACCCGTCCCGCGAGTCACCACCACAGACACGACTACTAACCTTACCAACACAACCACTCAAACTCCAACGTCCGCGATGCCCCCTATCATCAATATAACCCCGACATCAGCATTGCCCTCTCCTGCTTTCACAGGTCCATTCCCGTCCCCGCATCCCTCGACACGAAGGAGCCGTTCACGCCCTAAAGAGTACTTGGACTTACCCGCTGAACTCCAAATTCCTCCTCCTCCTCTCCAGAACACGTACCCGCTTTCAAACTTCAACGTCCCCATCCTCCGGGAGCCGAACGCTGGCATGCGACGAGGCAGACGAAGAAACACCGAGTCTGCGGCGCAAGCGCAGCACGCACCAATACAAGGCCAGGGAGGTTTGGCCGTACCCTTACAGGAAGCCGTCATGACTGAGAATGGCCTAGAATACGCGAGGTTATATGATCCCTATTCTGGGGCGTATAACGGCGGCCCAGTACTGTATCGCCATGGGACCATGGGACATGAGCGTTCTGTCAGTGAGGATAACGACGCTCGACTACAGGGTTACCATCCTTCTCAACATCATCATGAGGCCTATCATGGAATGATGCAAAATATCCACAACTTGGCACCCGTTGTGAGGAGGGTCTCACTCACCCATCCTGCGCCACCTGCGTATAGTCCTCCGCGACTGATCAGGAACGCGGACCCGGAACGAGATATGCTCTAATATTCGAGGGTTCGGAGTTTCTCGGCCATGTGGTAGTGGGTTTCTCTGGAAAGAGACTCGTGCATTCAAAAAGGCAAAAGGGGGTTTGACCATTCTGCTTCCATTATACGACGGTGCTTTTGGGTGGTTGTCACTGTCAAACGTGTTTGGATCATTGTAATTTTTGTGGTTTTCGGGAAATGCGCGAGATCTTGCCATGAATTGAGTAAATGGACAATTGATGCGC